CCTCAAGGCCTTTCTCCTTCTGATGCCCAGATAGGGCTGCTGATGCTTCTAGCAGCATCTTGGACCAAAGCGCTGTTTTAATTTGAGTCTTAAATTGTAAATAAAGAATAACACTCAAAAACAGGGGAATTCCAGACAAGAAATAATCAGGGACAGCTAACCATCTTCCAACCAAGGATTCCCTCAGGAAGGAAGCAACCATGCTCTGAAGCTGCAAGGCTATTCAAAGCTAAACAAGGTTATCAGTGGCAACATTCACACTTGCCTCCTACAGGCAAGAGTTCTTTCTCCCACCCTAGACATCATTCCACAGGTATATAAACCTTACTTGCCTAGTTCCAACAGACCTCACAACTTCTGAGGATGTTTGCCATAGATGCAGGAGAAACGTCAGGAGAGAATGCTTCTGGAACATGGCCATACAGACCAGAAAACTCACAGCAACCTATAGTTGTTGTTGTTGTTGTTATTATTATTATTATTATTTTACTGACACAAAAGCACAGTACGTCACAGCAAACGAGATCTATATGCTGGATTTCGTATCAAGAAATCACAAATCGAACATTTCCCAGGACTGTGTGATGTATTTTCAAATGATGCGTGCAGATCCAAGTAAGGTGGCCTTTTGCAGTTGAGTAATCTATATAAATAAAAATGTAATGTTTGTTTGTGGGATTAACATAACTCAAAAACCACTGGACGAATTGACACAAAATTTGGACACTATACCACTAACAGACCAACAAGTGGCCATCAYTCATAAAACGCAACCAAAGAACAGYGGAAAGGACTTAAAAACCCAAAATAGCTAAATGACGATGCAGAAAAAAGGGAAGAGGGAGGGAAGGAAGGGGAGAAAGAAAGAAAGAAGCAAAGAGTGAAGGAAGGAAAGAGGTAGAGAAGGAAAAAAGGAGAGAAAGAGAAGGAAAAGAAAAAGGGGGGAAGGAAAGAGAGAAGGAAGGAAAGAGAGAACAAAATACAAAGGAAAGAGGGAGGGAAGGAAGGAGGGAAAGAAGGAGAGAAAGAGGGAGGGAAGGAAAGAAGGAAAGAGAGAAGGAAGGACGGAAGCAGAAACCGAAGGAAGGAAAGAGAGAAGCAAGAAAGGAGAGAAGAGAAGGAAAAGAAAAAGGGGAAAAGGAGGGAAAGAGGTAGAGAAGGAAGGAAAGAAGGAAAGAAAAAGGAAGAAAGGAAAGAGAGTGAAGGAAGGAGGGAAAGAAGGAGAGAAAGGGGGAGGGAAGGAAAGAAGGAAAGAGAGAGTGAAGGAAGGAGGGAAAGAAGGAGAGAAAGAGGAAGGGAAGGAAAGAGAGAAGGAAGGATGGAGGCAAAAAGCAAAGGAAAGAAAGAGAGAAGGAAGGAAGGAAGGAGAGAAAGAGGAAGGAAAAGATAATGGTAGGTAGGAAGGAAAGAAGTAGAGAAGGAAGGAAGGAGAGAAGGAAGGAAGAAAAGGGAAGGAATGAAGGAAGGAGCAAAGGGAGGAGAGAAAGAGGGAGGGAAAGTTGGCCACAGCAGTTAGTAATATTACAGCTAGTAATAGTTATTGTTATTATGAACCACCTAGGATGTTAAGATCTTCTAGGGAGGCCCTGCCCTCGGTCCCACCTTCCTTGCAGATGAGTTTGGTGGGGACGAGAGACAGGGCCTTCTCAGCGGTGGCCCCTCGACTGTGGAATGCCCTGCCTAAAGATATAAGATCGGTACCTTCCCTCTTGACTTTTCAAAGAAAGGTGAAACCTGGCTTTTTTAGCAGGTCTTCCCAAATACGGCATAGTTATACGAAGTAATGGAACTACTTGATGACACAATTGAATAATGACTTGATATGGAGACGCTCACGATAATGTTTTAAGGCTTGTATGGTTTTATATTTTTATATTGTATGTTAATGTTTTAATAGTATTTTATGATTGGTATATTTTTAAATTGTTGAGACTGTTGAGGCATCGAATTGTTGCCATTTGTAAACCGCTCCAAGTAGTCTCTGGGCTGAGAGGGGCGATATATAAATATGGTAAATAAATAAATATTATCATCATTATTATTATAAAGCACATCTTAGCAATGGCTCTTTCTGGGTCACACTGTCACCCATTCCTGGCACAGGGGCAGCCCCGTCATGCCTGCCGCTAATGGGCATGAAGCCAAGCCCTGGTACAGAGATTTGGAAGGTTCCAAGAAACCCACTTAGTAAATGCCTGGTGACAGATTATGCAAATGCCACCCCAAGGACCATTATAGACATCTTATCACTTGGGGAATTTGGACTTGAAAGGTCCACAGGAAACACAGCAGTCTCCTGGTCAACATCGAGAAGCGAAGTGGCAGCCATGGCCTCAACCGGAGCCTGGTACGATTCTCTAAGATCACCAACCATGGCTTGCGGCAGCCACCTAGCTCCTTCCAGCCTATAAATTACACAAAATAGCAACTGCATGAGTGACTCAATGAACATCAAAGGGTAACACCTGGTGCAGGAGAGTCCCTCTGTTTTCCCATCAGTCCCTGAGCAGCGCATGTTCGGACTCATTTTATTAGCACAGAAAGGTGTCCTCTTTACCCCATAAATGCAAGAATGCCACTCTTTCTAGCCCAGGTATGCACGGCTGTGCCAACATGAAGGTCGGCTTTTCCAAGTCACAGAAATGCTAATCTGAACCAGAAAGGTGCCAAGTTGGCTCGATGTGGCACTAGAAGATGGACGGGAAAATAAAGAGATCAAGGAAGTTAGCTATTCTGAACTTTGACCATTTCTTGTCAGTCAAATGAGTCAGAAGGGACTGGGCAGGCCAGACAGAACCTGATCCAATGTACAAACACGTTGCCCCTGTTCCACACTCATATTTGCACACACACACATTTGGTAATTTTAGGTGTGTTTACACCTATGTCTTGAAGACATACAGTTATGTTCTTTGGGCATAACTCGATGGCAGTGCTTCTCAACTTTCCTAATGCCGCAACCCCTTGATACAGTTCCTACATGTTGTGGTGACCCCCAACCATAACATTATTTCTGTTGCTACTTCATAGCTGCAATTTTGCTCCTGTTATGAATCGTAATGTACCCGCATATAGGACGACGGGGCGTATAAGACGACCCCCAACTTTTCCAGTTAAAATATAGTTTGGGATATATTCGCCGTATAAGACTACCCCTCTTCCAACACACACCAAATAAATTTTTTAAAAGCATCAGATTTGATTTCAATATGGTAATTTTCCTATTACTGTACTTCCTTCTCTGCCTCTCAGATCTCGCACATGCACACCTGTACTGCTTCACTACAGTCTTCAGGAGCGAGATCTGAGAGGCAGAGGAGGAGGTACGGTAATAGGATACAAGGGCGGGCCAGACGGGTAAAAGAGGTATTTTTCTGGGCCTAGAGCCACTCTCTTTTTTCCATACTCCGGGCGCCCTGGAAATCTGCAGCTTGCTCCACCCTTCACTTACACCTTCCTGGTGAGTCGCCCCTTCATCTCACTATCAGGACCGCATTAAGTCCACGAATCCTGATGAATGGATTTTCTTCTATCATACTTGTACAGCGACACCGTTAATGCTTTCCTACAATCGCTGCAAACGGCAGGGACGCGGCCACTGCCATTTTTGAGCTCCCCCCACAATATGCAGCAACCAGATTCTCCAATCCAGATTGGAAGTTTCAGCACCCGCTCTATAAGACGACTCCCAGCGTATAAGACTACTCCTGCATATAAGACGATTCCCATGCATAAGGCTACTCCAGCATTTAAGGCGACTCCCATGTATAAGACTACTCCCACATATAAGACGACCCCTGACTTTTGAGATTTTCTTGGGTTAAAAAGTAGTCTTATACGCCAGAATATACGGTAAATACAGTGCTTTCTGACCTATTGTGGGGGTTCCATTCCAGGAACCCCCGCGATAAGTGAAAAACCGCAATGTAGGGATGCTATATTGTATATGTACAATATAGCTTCGCCCCCTCTCTCTATCTTCCTCTCCTCTTTCCCCCTCCCTCGTCCCCTTGCTGGAGCTACCCTTCTCCTTCCCTCCTTGTTTACCCACTGGCATGGGGATCTCAAGTCTGTTATAAACAGTGTTCCCTTGCTACTTGTATTTTAAATTAATTTTTTTGAAAAGCCACAAAACAGCGAGTCCGCGGTTGGCGAAGCGGCGAAGGAACACTGTATCTGATATGCAGGATGTATTTTCATTCACTGAACCAAATTTGGCACAAAATACCCGATATGCCCAAATTTGAATACTGGTGGGGTTGGAGGCAATTGATTTTATCATTTGGGAGTTTTAGTTGCTGGGGTTTATAGTTCATCTACAGTGAAGGAACATTCTGAACTTCACCAATGATGGAATTGAACCCAACTTGGCACACAGAACTCCCATAACCGACAGAAAATACTGGAACGGTTTGGTGGATATTGACCTTGACTTTTGGAGTTGTAGTTCACCTACATCCAGAGTGCATTATGGACTCAAACAATGATGGATCTGGACCAAACTTGCCACGAACACTAAATATGGCCAATTGTGACCACTGGTGGAGTTTGGAGAAAATAGACCTTGATATTTGGGAGTTGTAGTTGCTGGGATTTATACTTCACCTACAATGAAAGAGTATTCTGAACCTCATCAATGATACAATTGGGCCAAATGTCCTAAACAGAACTCCCCTGCTTTGAAGGGACTTCCTAGTACGAGCCTCCCTCCAGCCTCCCACATATGCACATCACGCTGCCAGGCGCCAAGCACGCCTGCTCTTCCTGCCACCACTTGGAGACTCAGAAACAGCCCTCCCCTTAACTGAGCTGTTAGCCAATCACAGTGGAGGCATCTGGGGTTAGGATTTGCCCTCTGTTTCCAAAAAGGAAGAGATGGATAGTCAGAGAGATCTTCACCCTCCTCTTCCAAAGCGGTTCCTAAAACCATCAGAAATATGTGCTTGGTGACCCCTCATCAGGCTTGACAGGGAAGAGAGAAAGGCCTCTCCTCCAAATACCTTCTTCCGCTGGGAGCCAGATTTGCTCATGCAGGACTTGTCCAGGGAGAGGTAGCCGCCGATGACCTCGATCTCGTGGACGGTGGGGTAGCGCTTCTTGAGGAGGTGGCCCAGCTCCAGGTGAGGGGCCCGGGCCTTGCCTTCCTCTTCCTCCTCCTCCTCTGGCAGCCAGGCTCTGTGGAAGGTCTCCAGCCCGGCTGCGGGGGGCTTCCTCTTGGGCACAACAGTGAAGGTGTTGCCATTCTTTGCAGGGAAGGAGACCGGGCACAGGGATGCCACCGCGGCCTCCTCCATCTCCAAGCCACCCTCGAGGGGAACGTCAAAGCCCTCCAGACGGGGGCTCAGGACTCTCAGGGGGGGTAAAGAGCCCGGCTCCGGCTCCAGAAGGTCCTCGTCGATGCAAGTCACCGGCACCGGTGTCTCGGCCTGCTTCTCGGGGGCCTGTGCAGGTTCCTTCCTCCGGGGCACAAAGAGGAAGGAGTTGCGGGAATTGAGCCTGAGGCTGGCCAGTGCCTGGGCCTGCAAGTCGTGCGCCGGGATGGCAGCCAGGTCCGGCTTGGGGGCTGGGCGGATCTCGAAGGCGCCGTTGTTGCCAAAAGCCGGGGGTGGCGGCGTTGGCGGCAGGGAGCGGGGCAGCGTGGTGGCACTGCTGTTGGGACTGGCACTACTATTTGCAGGAGGGGCCTCGGGGCTCTTGTCAGGCTTTGGCTTCCAGGGAGAGGCGGCGGGAGCGGGGCTTGGCGGAGATGGCACTGTCGGGGTGGTGGCGGTCGGAGCCCCGCAGTTCCTGGTCGGAGTAGCGGGCTCGTCGCCATCATCCTCAATCTCCTTCTCTTTCTCCTGGAGCTCTAGGGGACCGTTGCTGATTACGACCGGCGGGTGGCTGGCAAGGCGGAGGCGCCCACGAGGGTTCACCGTGAAGGAATTGGACCCGATCTTCTGCACAAAGCCGCGGCCGTGGGGCGGTGAACGAGGGGGCAAGCGGGGCTCCTCCGAGGGAGACTTTGGCACCACCGCCGCCGCCGCAGTCTCCGTGGACCCTCCGCCGCGCCACCAGGCCTTATTCCCGCGTGGGCCCTTCCGCTGGTCGAACTTCTGCAGAAGGCGGCTGACTCTCCCCGGTTCGGGGTCCGGCTCCTTTTCTTGCTGCTTTTCCTGCGGGTCGGGCGGCCGTGGCTCATAGATGACCACTTCGGAGGCGCGGATCTCAGTGACCGGGGAGCCACTTCGGGAAAGGAGGGCGTGGAGTGGGTCCTGCTGGCATTGTTGTTGTTGTTTCCAAAGGGGGCGGGGCGAGGGCGAAGTGGTGACGTCGGAAGCCCCGCCTCCCTGGGGGTGTGGCTGGCATTGTGGTTGCTGCCTCCAAAAGGGGCGGGGCGACGGGGAGGCCCCGCCCACGGCGGTGACGTCACTGGACCCGCCCCCTGGCTTCCCCTCAGCGTCTCTCTCCTTGGACTCGATGATGAGGATGTTGTCGGCGCGGATGGTGCGGATGCCCGGCATGGCGCCGTAGAGCTCCAGCAAGTGAGCCAGGGCGGGCGTCTCGGAAGAGGGCGAGGGAGGCGGCTTGGGCGGGGAGAGCGGCCTGGGCGCGGGCGGAGGGGCCCTGGGCCCGCTGGTCCTCCTCCTCCTCCTCCGGCGCTCGCTCTCCAGCCGCATGAAGGGGTTCTCCCGCAGCGGGCCCAGGCTCTCCGCCACCACCAGCCTCTCCTCCTCCCCCTCCTCGGCCCGCTTGCCTTCCGAGTCCGGCCGCCTCGCCGCCGGAGCGCCCCTCGGAGGCATCTCCAAGCCGGCCGCCAGCTTGGCCCGCTTCCGCTCCAGGATGGCCTGCTTCCACGCCGGGAGCCCCGCCGAACTCATGGCGCCCGAGGGAAACGCGCCCGCCCGCGCCCTCTCCTCGCCTCTCCTCAGAGTGACTGACCCTCTCCGGCTTAGTCCGGCAAAAGGGGGCGGGCCCCAAACAGCGCCGCCGCCGGCCATTGGGTACGACCCCCGCCATTGGCTGGGAGGCATAGCGCCTCGATTGGATAAAAGTACCCTACGCCCGCCTCCGACTGCCACCTGAGGTTCCTATTGGTCCCCAAGGGAGCCTCGGGACGTTGTCCTTCAGGCAGGGCATTTGGCGGTCGCCTGAGGTAGCGGCGCAGGTGATTGGCCGAACCGCAATGTCCCGCCCTCTTTCCTACGACGACGGGAGAGCATTCATTGGACAGTCGAGGGAAGGAGCGGGGAAGCTTATTCGTCAGTCGGAACACACCCACGACGGAGAAAAAGCCGGCTAGGAACGAGCCTTAGGGGCGGGGCTTCGGGGGCAGGACCAATTAGAAGAGAGAAACACGAGCATGGCTTGAAATTATGAGCGGCCATTGGATGAGAAGTCCTTTCGTCTTCACAAGCCAGCTAGGAATGTGCTTTTAAGGGGTGGGGCTTCAGGGAGAGAACCAATTAGGAGAGAGAACCATGAGCATGGCTTGTAATTCTCAGCGGCCATTGGATGAGAAGTCCTTTCGTCTCCACAAGCTTTAAGGGGGGTGGGGCTTCAGGGAGAGAACCAATTAGGAGAGAGAAGCGCGAGCATGGCTCAGCGGCCATTGGATGAGAAGTCCTTTCGTCTTCACATGCCAGGTAGGAATGTGCTTTAGGGGGTGGGGCTTCAGGGAGAGAACCAATTAGGAGAGAGAACCACGAGCATGGCTTGTAATTCTCAGCAGCCATTGGATGAGAAGTCCCTTCATCTTCACAAGCCAGAGGTTTATATACTCCCGCCCTTCTCATATGCTCCGTCTATTGGCTGTCACCTATGTCAATCAAGGAATGGAGGTGGATTAGGGCGCTTGCTTTCTAGCTATTGGCGTTTTACATTTTTTTTCAATAGGAAGTAATAGAAAGATTTCCAAGCCCCCTAGTGGGGATTCCAATTACTGCTTCAGCAGCCAGGATGCAGTGACTCTCCCCTCAACACGAATATTATTTGGACTATTATTACTATTATCATTCTTTGTTCATGCAAAAAATTTTCCAAGAAGGTTAAACATAACATAAAGCAACACCCCTCCCCCCAACAATAAATAAAATTATAATTCAGGAAGACACCATACAAGCCCTCCCGACAGATGGCCGAACTCCCAGGCAGCATACTCTACTCTTAGCTTTCCAGATGGGTGAGAAAAACAACAACCATATATTGACTTAAGAATGGGAATCTATTTACATGTTTAGCAACCCATTTCCATTTGGTCTGAAGTCCAGTGAGAATACACATATGAACATAAGAATGGGAATCTCTATCGACATATTCTCAAATTGCGGTCTTGTTCTACATGGTCTGAGGTCCAGCAACAAAGCATATATTTGCATGCAAATGGGGATCTATTTACATGTTTATTCTTAAATTCCGATCTTGTTCCATAGGGCCGGAATTCCAGTCAGAATACTTATATTTACACAAGAATGGGAAATCTATGTACATATTTATTCTCAAATTGCAATGTGGCTCCATATGGTCGTCTGAAGTCCAGTGAGAATACATAAACATGAGTATGGGAATCTATTTACATGTTTATTCTTATATAGCGTTCCATTCATATTTCCACAGTCTGAAGTCCAGTGGGAATAAACATGTTGAAATAAGAATGGGAATCTATTTACACACACACACATATATATATTCTTAAATACTGGTCTGGTTCCATATGGTCTGAAGTCCAATGAGAATACATAACCATGAGGATGGGAATCTATTTACATGTTATTATTAAATAGCAGTCTGATTCCATTCCTAGTTCTACATAATCTGAAGTCCAGTGACATAAGAATGGAAATCTATCTACATATTTATTCTCAAATTGCAGTCTGGCTCCATTCCTAGTTCCACATGCTTTGAAGTCCAGTGACAATGCATGTATTTGCATAAGAATAGGAATATATCAATGTGTATATTATTAAATATAGTTCCATATGGCCTGAAGTCCAGTGAGAATGCATAAACATGAGGATGGGAATCTATTTACACGTTTATTCTTAAATAGTCTTGTTCCATATGGTCAAAAGACCAGTCAGAATACACATATTTGCGTAAGAAAGGGGATATGTCTATATATGTCTCCTCAAATTGCGGTCTGGTTCCATATGGTCAAAAGTCAATTCAGAATACATATATTTGCATAAGAATGGAAACACATCTACATATTTATTCTTAAATAGCAGTCTTGGTCAACATAGTCTAAAGTCCAGTGAGAATGCATGTATTGGCATAAGAATGGGGATCTGTCTACATATTTTTCCTCAAATTGCAGTTTGGTTCCATATGGTCAGAAGTTCATTCAGAATACATATATTTGCATAAGAATGGGAACATAGCTACATATTTATTCTTAAATAGCAGTTTTGTTCCACATAATCTGAAGTCCAGTGAGAATACACGTACTGACATAAGAATGGGGATTTATCTACATATTTCTTCTCAAGTGGCAGTCTGATTCCACACTTTGTTGTACTCAGTCTAGGGTCCAGCAACAATGCCTGTCTGCATAAGAAGGGGCCCTATCGGCATGCCTGTCCGCAAGCAGGCCTTGTTCCCGGGCCACTTGTTCTCCTGTTCCTGGCTCTCCTCCCCTTGACCCAGCAACACAACCAAATGCCTCTTAATTTATTCTTAAGTAGCGGTCTGGTTCCATATGGCCTGAAGTCCAGTGAGAATACATAAACATGAGAATGGGAATTTATTTACACGCATATTCTTAAATAGCAATCTGGTTCCATACGGCCTGAAGTCTAGTGAGCATACATAAGCATGAGAATGGGAATCTATTTACATGCTTAATCCTAAATAGTAGCCTGGTTCCATTCCTAGTACCACATATTCTGGAGTCTATGAGTTGACATATTTCTTCTCAAGTGGCAGTCTAGTTCCACGCTTTGCAGTAACTGGTCCAAGCTCCATCAACAATGCCTCTGTCTGCATAAGAAGGGGCCCTATCCGCACGCTTGTCCGCAAGCAGGCCTTGTTCCTGGGCCACTCCTCCTCTTGACCCAGCAACACAGCCAAATGCATCTTAATTTATTAAGTAGCGATCTGGTTCCATATGACCTGAAGTTTGGTGAGAATACATAAACATGACAATGGGAATCTATTTGTACGCATATTCTTAAATAGCGGTCTGGTTCCATATGGCCTGAAGTCTGGTGAGAACACATAAACAGGTATTAACATAAGAATGTGGATCCATCTACACATTTATTCTCAAATGGCGGTCTGATTCCACGCCTTGTTGTACTTGGCCCAAGGTCCAACAACAATGCCTCTGTCTGCATAGGAAGGGGGCCTATCCGCACGCCTGTCTGCAAGCAGGCCTTGTTCCTAGGCCACTCCTCCTCTTGACCCAGCAACACAGCCAAATGCCTCTTAATTTAATTTAGTATTGGTCTGGTTCTATATGGCCTGAAGTCCAATGAGAATATATAAACATGAGAATGGGAATTTATTTACACACTTATTCTCAAATAGCAGTCTGGTTCCATATGGCCTAAAGTCCAGTGAGAATACAAAAACATGAGAATGGGAATCTATTTATACGCTTATTCTCAAATAGCAGTCTGGTTCCATTCCTAGTTCCACATAGTCTGGAGTCTATAAGTTGACATATTTCTTCTCAAGTGGCAGTCTGGTTCCATGCCTTGTTGTATGGCCTGAAGTCCAGTAAGAATACATAAACATGAGAATGGGAATCGATTTACACGCTTATTCTCATATAGCAGTCTGGTTCCATATGGCCTAAAGTCCAGTGAGAATACATAAACATGAGAATGAGAATCCATTTACATGCTTATTCTCAAATAGCAGTCTGGTTCCATATGGCCTAAAGTCCAGTGACAATACAAAAACATGAGAATGGGAATCTATTTACACGCTTATTCTCAAATAGCAATCTGTTTCCATATGGCCTAAAGTCCAGTGAGAATACATAAACATGAGAATGAGAATCTATTTACATGCTTATTCTCAAATAGCAGTCTGGTTCCATATGGCCTAAAGTCCAGTGAGAAAACATAAACACGGGAATGAGAATCTATTTATACGCTTATTCTTAAACAGCGGCCTGGTTCCATTCCTAGTTCCACATAGTCTGGAGTTATGAGTTGACATATTTCTTCTCAAATGGTGGCCTGGTTCCATTAACAATGCCTCTGTCTGCATAAGGAGGGACCCTAGCTACAAGCGTGCTTTGTTCTCCGCCTCCTCTCGACCCGGCGACACAGGCCAAGGCCTCCCCGAAGCCTCAGAAGATCCTGCAGGCGCGGATCATGAGGAGCTGGAGCAGGATGAAGACGGGCGCCATGATGAGGCCGTACCAGAGCTGCTCGCGGCCGGGCTTGGGCTCCTGGCCCAGCTTCTGGCAGAGCAGCATCTCGAAGACGAACTTGAGGCTGAGGAGGGTGAGCACCCAGAAGAGGCGCAGCACGGCCAGCCGCTTCTCGCCGTCCTGGAAGAGGCGCACCGAGACGATGGCCGTGAAGTAGGTGCAGAGCCCGTCGGCGGCGAAGAGCGGGCCCAGCGCGCCCCACCAGCTCAGCCCCGCCGCCGCCGCCCCGCCGTCCGCCTTCAGCGCCACCAGCGCCGACGCCGCCAGCAGCGCCAGCCCCTGCAGGAGCAGCTCGAAGGGCGCCAGGCCCAGCCACTGCACCGCCTCCCGCAGAGAGAACAGCATCCCGATGCCTCAGGACGCGGGCCCCGCCGCCGCGCGCTTCCGCTTCCGCCGCGGCTTCCGGCGCGCGGGGGGGACGTCGAGACGTCCCGAGCGAGGGAGGCGCCGACACCTCTTGGCGCGCGGCAGTGACGTTTGCGGCACCGCGATGCCGGCTCAGGTGAGGCGCTGCTGCTGCTGCGCGCTTCTGAGGGGAAAAAGTAGGAGCCTTCAAGTGGAGTGAATCCGCTTTGAATCCGGTTTCTGCCTACTGCAGAAGTCTGGGGTTGGTAGTTTAGGGTGGGGGAGCCTTTCCACAGCCTCACTAAACTACAAACCCCAGCATCCTGCAGGATTGAAAGTGGATGGAAGTAGTTCTGCCTTGGGGCTCTTCCACACAGCCCTCCATCCCAGGATATCAAGGCAGAAAATCCCACCATATCAAACTGGGTTATCTGAGTCCACAGTCAGGTAATGTGGGATTTCCTGCCTTGATATTCTGGGATATAGGGCTGTGTGGAAGGGCCTCCAGTTGTCGTGGGGCCAGGGCTTACTCTCCACTCTCATCTCATCTATCTATGTGTATATAGTCTGCTGGCTCCCTCCTTCCCTCTCTGTTGTCGTGTGGCCAGGGCTCACCTGCCAGTCTCATCTCATCTATCTATCTATCTATCTATCTATCTATCTATCTATCTATCTATCTATGTGTATATAGTCTGTTGGCTCCCTCCTTCGCTCTCAGTTGCCATGGGGCCAGGGCTCACCTTTCACTCTCACCTTATCTATCTATCTATCTATCTATCTATCTATCTATCTATCTATCTATGTGTATATAGTCCGTTGGCTCCCTCCTTCCCTCTCAGTTGTCGTGGGACCAGGGCTCACCCTCCACTCTCATCTAATGTATCTATCTATCTATGTGTATATAGGCCGTTGGCTCCCTCCTTCCCTCTCAGTTGTCATGGGGCCAGGGCTTACCTTCCACTCTCATCTAACCTATCTATCTATTTATGTGTATATAGTCCGTTGGCTCCCTCCTTCCCTCTCAGTTGTTGTGGGGCCAGGGTTCACCCTCCACTCTCATCTATCTATGTGTATATAGTCTGTTGGCTCCCTCCTTCCTCTCAGTTGTCATGGGGCCAGGGCTCACCTTCCACTCTCATCTTATCTAGCTATCTATCTATCTGTATATAGTCTGTTGGCTCCCTCCTTCTCTCTCAGTTGTCGTAGGGCCAAGGCTCACCTTCCACTCTCATCTTATCTATCTATCTATGTGTAAGAAGTCCGTTGGCTCCATCCTTCCCTCTCAGTTTTTGTGGGGCCAGGGCTCACCCTCCACTCTCCTCTATCTATGTGTATATAGTCTGTTGGCTCCCTCCTTCCCTCTCAGTTGTTGTGGGGCCAGGGTTCACCCTCCACTCTCATCTATGTGTATATAGTCTGTTGCCTCCCTCCTTCCCTCTCAGGTGTCGTGGGGCCAGGGCTCACCCTGCACTCTCATCTAATCTATCTATCTATCTATCTATCTATGTGTATATAGTCTGTTGGCTTCCTCCTTCCCTCTCAGGGCCCTTCTACACAATCCTATATCCCAGGATATCAAGGCAGAAAATCCCACAATATATGCTTTGGACTGGGTTATCTGAGTCCACATTCAGATAATGTGGGATTTTACTTATAATATAATATATTATATATACTACTACTACTAATACAATATTATAAGTATATATTTTATATTACATGTAATATTACTAACAATATTACAATATAATGGTATAGTACAATATAGTAAGATATAGTACTGATATTGTGCTATGTAATAATATTATATATATATATATATATATATATATATATATATATATATATCTATCTTGTAAGCCGCTCTGAGGGCGGCATATAAATGTCATAAATACATACATAAATACATTTTCTGCCTTGATATTCTGAGATATAGGGCCCTTGGAAGAGGCTTTGACGACAGATTTGGAATAGTTCTATGTTTAATTCTACTTTAATTCTACATTTAATCCTATTTTGCTTTATATTTCATAGGTTTGAGCCTTATCTATCTTTAATAGTCCATTGCCTAATTCTCTACATTCTGGTGTCTTTAGCATTTGAGTGACTTGTCAGAAAGGGAAGCGGGATAGAAATACCACAATAAGAGTTATGATGTTCTGTTAGTTCCATGCCTACTTCAGTTTTAAATCCTTTTATTGTTTTTAGCTTTGTTTGAGTCTCTTTCCAAGGAGGGAAATAAAATATAACAACAACTATTTAGACCTGTTTTCTTGAGAGGAGGCATCCCTTTCTCAGAGGTTGCATCTTTGTTGTTGTTTATTAGTTCAGTCACTTTCACCTTTTTGTGACCTCATGGACCATCCCACGCCAGAGCTCTCTGTCGGCCATCACCACCCCCAGCTCCTTCAGAGTCAAGCCAGTCACTTCAAGGATACCATCCATCCATCTTGCCCTTGGTCGGCCCCTCTTCCTTTTTCCTTCCATTTTCCCCAGCATCATTGCTCTTCTCTAAGCTTTCCTGTCTTCTCATGATGTGGCCAAAGTACTTCATCTTTGTCTCTAGTCTCCTTCCCTCCGAGCGGCGCTCTGGGCTTTATTTCCTTGAAGTATGGACTTATATCCTTTGCCTTTGCATCTTTGCCTCTTATATCCTTCCCTCCAATGAGCATTTGGCTTTATTTCCTGGAGGATGGACTGGTTGGATCTCCTCGCGGTCCAGGGCACTCTCAGAATTTTCCTCCAACACTACAGTTCAAAAGCATCCCTCTTCCTTCACTCAGCCTTCCTTATGGTCCAGTTCTCACATCTGTAAGTGACTACGGGGAATACCATTGCTTTTACTATGCGGATCTGTTTGTAAGCATTTGTTGTGTGATGTCTCTACTCTTCACTATCTTATTGAGATTGGTCCTTGCTCTCCTCCCAAGAAGTAAACGTCTTCTGATTTCCTGGCTGCAGTCTGCATCTGCAGTCATCTCTTTGCCTAGAAATACAAAGTCTGTCACTGCTTCCACGTTTTTGATCAAACACAATAACCAGCATAGTGATCTTGTTTGCTGTGTACCAATCTTGTGTATGAGATAATAATGAATGTATTACCTGCTTCTTCCTGCAGCTTGAGGCAGGACACAACATCATTAACCATCATTAAAACTTCTGCTACCAATAGTTTGTATAGAGTTATAGGTAGAGATGTATGTTTGTTAGGTCATCATTGTCTAATACATTTCTTCATCGGTATTGTGGCCTTTTCTTTTCTTTTATATTGGGGGGGGGGGGGGAGAGAAACAAATCAGCTTCAAGCCAGCAGTTTTAGGTAGTCTATTTGGGAGTTTTCCACTATCCAAGCCCTTCTTTCTCTTCCCCTTTTGCTTGAGTCCCCAACATGTTCTTAATTTGAGAAAGAGCCGCATGATAAACCAGTGACCAAGAGACAAGCCTTGGCCTCCTGCTTTCACTAAACGGGACATCTCTGCCTCTCGTCTTCCAGATGGAGGATCGGAAGATGCTGGTCCTCTTTGGCAGCCAGACAGGGACGGCTCAAGATGCGGCTGAAAGGGTCGGCCGGGAGGCCAAGCGGCATCACTTCCGGTGCAAAGTGGAGGCCCTGGATGACTACAGTGTGGTGAGCGACCTGGCTGCCCTTACGGCTTCCCCCTTCAAGATGGGTGGCTTTAACAGGCCAAATAGTCCCAGAGGCCCCCAAATCGAATATCATGCACTGTTTTTTGGGATAAATACCTTCGCCAAAATGGGGGTGCATAGTAGATTTGATGGCAGATTAGACTCAAATCAATATTGTAATTTTTTGAGAAAAGTAAAAAGTATGGGACAGCAATTGGTTGATAAATTATTGGTCCTTTCTCCAGGCTTCCCTCATCCATGAACCCTTGGTGGTGTTTGTCTGTGCAACAACGGGACAAGGAGACCCTCCTGATAACATGAAGGTCAGATTATTATTATTACTACACTATATAAACAAAATTTGAAAAAAAAATCTGTTCCTGGTTTGAAAGTGTTATTTCCTGTACTTAATTTGAAAGTAGTTGTTCTACTCCAGACACTTTGTTTTGGAGGCTGCCACAAACTAGGTTGAATTGGTTGAGACTCTGTGAGATATGCTTTGAAAAACTATAGCAAAATGTGCTGCAGGATATCCCAAAGAAACAAAGTTTTTGCAGTTTAAACAACATTTTTCATGTTTTTATGATAGTATCAATTAGGAAATGTTATTTATAACTCAGGAACAAAAATGTGTTCTGTAGTGCTATTATTAGTATCATAGAATCAAACCCCTCCTGACAGATGGCCATCCAGCCCCTGTTTAAAAGCCTCCAGGGACTGAGCCTTCACCGGATTCAGAGGCAATGAGTTCCACTGTTGAACAGCCTTACAACCAGGAAGTCCTTCCTTATATTCATTATTATTATTATTAGCTGTCCCCTGCCATGTGTTGCTGTGACCCAGTCTGTGTATATGTGTTTTGTGTATGTATACATGTGTGTATGTGTATATATGTGATTTTGTGCATGTGTTGTAATGTAATTTTTTTTGGGGGGGGGGGTTTGGCTTTTTAAGTCCCTTCTGCTGTGTTTTTCAGTGTTTTTATGAGTGATGGTCACTTGTTGACCTGATAAGTGTATAGTGTCCAAATTTGGTGTCAATTCACCCAGTATTTTTTGAGTTATGTTAATCCCACAAATGAACAATACATTTTTATTTATATAGATTGTTATTAATATGCCACTTTTTCTTTCTAATATCTCACTTTTTCTTAAAGCGGCTCACAATAAATCCAACACAGTACAATAAACCAATATAATACAGATATCCTCCCATTAAGAATATTTGGACCCTAACAGGAGAAAATGCAGCCAGTACTATATATGAGTTTATGGTAGGAAAGAGGAGAGAAAAGACACAGGTAAATATCATTTTTTTTAAAAAAAAATATTTACTCTTGAAGGGAATACATCTCAGATAAAAAAAAAAGAGTAGATAGACAGAAGAAAAGTTACCTAACTTGGGTACAAGAGTTACTAATGCTGACACTTGTGTTTTGGTGTCATAATAATAATAATAAGCTCAATGAAAGCAATACCATCAAGGCCATAAACATCTGGGCCATACTTGTCATAAGATATACTGCTGGCATCATAAACTGAACACAGGCGGAACTGGACAGAAAAACAAGAAAACTCATGACCATTCATTATTCACTGCATCCTCGCAGTGATGTTAACTGGCTATATCTGCCCAGAAGGTCTGGTGGCAGAGGACCCGTGCAAGGAAAATAAGCAGCCAAAGAAGAGAAACACACCCTGGCAGAATATGTCAAGGAAAGCCAAGAACCTGCTTTAATTGAAGTCAATAATCAGAAACTTCTCAAAGCACAGCAGACAAAGAACCAGTACAAGAAAACTGCACTCCAAACCAGAACTGACAGTTGGCACAACAAAGCATTGCATGGGAAGTTCCTTGAGAAGATTGAAGGAAAAGTTGACAAGGAGAAAATCTGGTTATGGCTCATGAATGGAACCCTGAAGAAGGAGACAGAAGAAGGCCTGATTCTTGCTGTCCAGGAGCAAGCCATCAGAACCAATGCAATTAAGGCCAGGATTGAAAAATCAGCTGATGACCCAAAATGCAGACTGTGCAAAGAAGCTGATGAAACCATGGATCATCTCCTCAGTTGCTGCAAGAAAATCGCACAGACAGACTACAAACAGAGGCACAACTCTGTGGCCCAAATGATTCATTGGAACTTATGTCACAAATACCACCTACCAGTAGTAAAGAACTGGTGGGATCATAAACCTGCAAAGGTCGTGGAAAATGAACATGCAAAAGTACTGTGGGACTTTCGAATCCAGACTGACAAAGTTTTGGAACACAATACACCAGATATCACGATTGTAGAAAAGAAAAAAGTTTGGATTATTGATGTCGCCGTACCAGGTGACAATTGCATTGAGGAAAAACAACAGGAAAAACTCAGCCGTTATCAGCACCTTAAAACCAGTACAGGTGGTCCCAGTGGTGATCAGCACACTGGGTGCCGTGCCAAAAGATCTCAGCTGGCATTTGGAAACAAACATTGACAAAATCATGATCTGTCAACTGCAAAAGGCCACCTTACTTGGATCTGCGCGCATCATTCGAAAATACATCACACAGTCCTAAACGCTTGCAAAGTGTTCAACTTGTGATTTTATGATACAAAATCCAGCATATAGATCTTGTTTGCTGTGCCATGCTGTGTTTTGTGTCAGAATGATAAATAATAATAATAATAATAATAATAATAATAATAATTGCTATTGGTGTTAGCCTTTGTGAGGCAGAGAGAAGCCTCATGATGTTCCCTTCTCAAACAAAAGGGTTATATATATATATATATATTAATGTATTGTCGAAGGCTTTCATGGCTGGAATCACTGGGTTGTTGTAGGTTTTTCCGGGCTATATGGCCATGTTCTAGAGGCATTTTCTCCTGATCGTTTCGCCTGCATCTATGGCAAGCATCCTCAGAGGTAGTGAGGTCTGTTGGAAGTAGGAAAATGGGTTTATATATCTGTGGAATGACCAGGGTGGGACAAAGGACTTTTGTCTGCTGGAGCTAGGTGTGAATGTTTCAGCTGACCACCTTGATTAGCATTTAATGGCTTGGAAGTGCCTGGGGGGAATCTTTTGTTGTGATTTGATATATATATATATGTTTGTTTATTTATTTATGACATTTATATGCCGCCCTTCTCACCCTGAAGGGGGCTCAGAGCGGCTTACAAGAAATAAATGCGCGCCATTCATTATTACCATAGCACAATATTAGTATTATATATTACTATATTGTACTATACCATTGTACTGTAATATTATTAGTAATTTTACGTGTAATATGAAATATATAATTATAATATCATATAATTATTAGTATTATATTGTATCACATTATACTATTATCAATAAAGGAATTTGAGAACTTTTGGAAGAAGGAGAAAGTGACACCTGTATGCAGGCAGGAAGCCAAACATCTTGAGTTACATAGACCTAAGGAAACTAGAAAACAAGACAGGCCTACACTACACGGTTCCCTCTGTCCCTGGTTTCTCTCTATATTGAAGTGTTGATGCTTCTTCTCTTCCAGCACTCCCAGGGAGGGGCCTTCTGATACCCTGGGGAAGCCGTTTCTTAGAGAACACATGTTGTGTACATGCAAAGCTGGTTGTGCTTGTTCCTCATTGCCCTGGAAGAAGTGAGACAGAGAGAACAAAACTGTAGCTTGTTCCCGCAGGGGAACAATCCGCAGCAGGTTTCCTGAGCATCAGCCCCAGTCTCACAGCCTGCTTTTTGCTTGATTTTGGTCTAGAATTTCTGGCGGTTCATCTTCCGGAAGAACCTGCCTCCTGGTTCCCTTTGTCAGATGGATTACGCTGTTTTGGGGCTTGGAGATTCCTCATATCCCAAGTAAGTGGTGCTTCCTGCCTTCTCCATGATGCAATGACAGCCCTCCTTTGTCTCCTATCCAGGGGTGTTTTGGACCTATAGAGAGGTCTGTCATTGGAAACAGGATTATGGGAACACCATCCTCATATCAAAATATAATCTTGGACCAGACCTTGAGAAAGATACTTTTCAGGACTGTAGCTCCCAGGATAATAATTAAGGAATGAAATCCAAAGCAAGCCTTTTTTCAAAGTCTCTAAAATTATTATTATTAAAATCATTATTACAGTTATTATTATTATTTGAAACACAACAAGATGAGTTCACAGCAGACAAGATCACTCCGCTGGCTGTTGTATTGGCTCACACGTTGGACACTTCCCAAGTGTCTAGGACTTACTATTATTATTACTGTTGTTGTTATTATTATTATTATTATTATTATTGGAGCCCCCGGTGGCACAGTGGTTAAACCAATGAGCTGCTGAACTTGCTAACTGAAAGGTGGCAGGTTTGAATCTGGGAAGCGGCATGAGCTTCCACTGTCAGCCCCAGCTTCTGCCAACCTAGCAGTTCGAAAACATGCAACTGTGAGTAGCTCAATTGGGACCACTTGGGCGGGAAGGTAAGGGCGCTCCATGCAGTCATGCTGACCACATGACCTTGGAGGTGTCTATGGACAACGCTGGCTCTTTGGCTTAGAAATGGAGATGAGCCCAACTCCCAGAGTAGGACACGACTGGACTTAATGTCAGGGGAAAACCTTTACCTTTACCTACCTTATTATTATTGTTGTTGTTGTTGTTGTTGTTATTATTATTATATTACATTATAATATTATAAATATGATATGTGTATACAATATATAATATAATATAATATTATTAGTAATTATGGGAACACTTTCCTCAAATCAAAATATGGTCTTGGACCAGACCTTGGGAAAGATACTTTTTAGGACTGCAGCTTCCAGGATAATAATTAAGGAATGAAATTCTGGGGGTTGTAATCCAAAGCGAGCCTTTTTCTAAGTCTGTACAATTATTATTATTATTATAATTATTACAGTTATTATTATTATTATTAGGGAGGTTGCGGGTGGGATTCTGGGGAGGATTGGGAGTTTTATTATTTTATCGTTGAGGTTGTGGGTGGCTTCTGGGAGGGGCTAGGAATTTTAAATGTAATTTTAATTGTATTTATTCTATCATAATTGTATTTTAACCTGTATCCATGACACAAATATTTAAAATTGTTTTTAGTGTTTGTATTTGCTGTGTTTTTAAATTCATACTGGGTTATAATTGTGTAATTGCTAGCTTTCCCCCTCTCTCTCCATGCTCAGGTTCAACTTCGTGGCCAAGAAGCTGCACAAGCGGCTGCTGCAACTGGGGGGCCATCCCTTGACCCCCATTGCCCTAGGAGACGACCGCCATGACCTCGGGTGAGAGGAGAGTGATGGACCCCCTCCCTCTGAGGATTCTGCTTAGGGCCCCGTCTTTATTTTTCACGCATCCAAAATGGCTCCCTTTCCTGCTGTTGTTTGTAGCCCGGATGCAGTGATTGACCCCTGGCTGCTGGACTTGTGGGGCAAGGTTCTGGCGCTGCACCCCTTACCTCCCGGTCTCCAAATAATCAGCCCGGAAACCATGTAAGTGGAAAGGAAAGCTAGAGCTGGGTACAGGAATATAATTAATTGCTGTATTTATTATTTTTTTCAAAATGGAAACTCACCCTCAAATAGGTTTAAGTTGATGCATCTCTCCTGCCCTTGAAAAGATATCAGACAGTTATTGGTTCCACATAAGCGGGTTTTACGGTCTTTCCTGCAGTTTGCCACCCAAATTCACCTTCCAGTTTCTGGACGAAGATGGCAGCACCCCTTGCGAGGAGGAGCAGCAACCCCTTCGGGACCACCCTTCAGAGCTGTGCCCTTTTGCTGCCCGGATGGTGTCCAATCAGCGCGTGACGTCTGAATCGCATTTCCAAGATGTCCGCCTCATTGAGTTTGACATCACCGGCTCTGGAATTGAGTGAGTTTCCTTGGCAGCTGGATCTCTTGTTGTGCTTTGGCAACAACAAGAAGGCAAAGAAACATGGCAAGTTGCATCCAAACGTCTACGCGTGAGAATCCTAGAGTGGGAAGGGACCCCAAGGGACATCTAGTCCAATGCCTTTGTGTCAAGCCCTCCTGACAGATGGCCCTCCAGCCATAGATATGATAGATATGCTTGAGAGAGAAAATAGATGGATAGATAGGATTGAGCTGGACATAAGTATGGGATATATAGACAATCCTAGAATTGGAAGACACCCCAAGGGCCATCCAATCCAACCCCTTTCTGCCAGGAAGGGCACTGTCCAAGCCCTCCAGGCAGAGACTCTCCAGCCATAGATATGATAGATATGCTTGAGAGAGAGAACAAATAAATCTGTATAAATAAAATGTAATGTTCGTTTGTGGGATTAACATAACTCAAAAACTACTGGATGAATTGACTACAAATTGGGACACAATACACCTATCAGGCCAACACATGACCATCACTCATAAAAATACTGAAAAACACAACAGAAGGGACTTAAAAATCCAAAAGAATAAAAAAATACATTACAATCCTTGCGCAAAACCACATATATACACATACAAATATATACATACACATATATATACACACACAAAACACAATTACACAGACTGGGCCACAGCAATGCGTGGCAGGGGATGGCTAGTAGATAAATAGATAGGATTGAAATATATAGATAGAGAGAGAGAGGGCGGGGGGGGGGGGGAATCCTAGAATAGGAAGAGGCGCTAAGGGCCATCCAGTCCAACTCCTTTCTGCCAGGAAGGACACCATCCAAGCCTTTCAGACAGATGACCCTCCAGCCATAGATATGATAGATATGTTTGAGAGGGAGAAGAAGAGCCTGAAGAAGAGCCTGAAGAAGAGAAGGCTGAGAGGAGATATGATAGCCATGTATAAATATGTGAGAGGAAGCCACAGGGAGGAGGGAGCAAGCTTGTTTTCTGCTTCCTGGAGACTAGGACGCAGAACAATGGCTTCAAACTACAAGAGAGGAGATTCCATCTGAACATGAGGAAGAACTTCCTGACTGTGAGAGCCGTTCAGCAGTGGAACTCTCTGCCCCGGAGTGTGGTGGAGGCTCCTTCTTTGGAGGCTTTTAAGCAGAGGCTGGATGGCCATTTGTCAGGGGTGATTTGAATGCAATATTCCTGCTTCTTGGCAGGGGGTTGGACTGGATGGCCCATGAGGTCTCTTCCAACTCTTTGATTCTATGATTCTATGAAATAGATTGATAGTATTGAGATGCACATATATAATATACAGGCAATCCTAGAATTGGAAGAGACCCCAAGGGCCATCCAAATCCAACCCCTTTCTGTCAGGAAGGGCACTGTCCAAGCCCTCCAGACAGATGACCCTCCAGCCATAGATGTGATAGATATGCTTGAGAGAGAGAACAAATAAATATATAGAAAAATAGATAGGATTGAGATGCATATATATATATATATATATAGAGAGAGAGAGAGAGAGAGAGAGAGAGTCCTAGAATAGGAAGAGACCCCAAGAGCTATCCAGTCCAACTCCTTTCTGCCAGGAAGGACACAATTCAAGCCCTCCAGACAGATGACCTTCCAGGCATAGATATTAGAGATATGCTTGAGAGAGAGAAAAAATAGATAGATAGATAGATAGATAGATAGATAGATAGATAGATAGATAGATAGGATTGAGATGCACATACATATATAATACCGTATATAGAGAATCCTAGAATTGACCATCCAGTTCAACCCCTTTCTGCCAGGAAGGACACAATTCAAGCCCTCCAGACAGATGACCCTCCAGCCATAGATATTAGTGATATGCTCGAGAGAGAGAACAAATAGATAGATAGATGGATAGATAGATAGATAAATAGAATTGAGATGCACATAAATATATATTATATATTTATGTGCATCTCAATCCTATTTATCTATCTATCCATATATAGAGAATCCTAGAATTGGAAGAGGCCCCAAGGGCCATCAAGTCCAACCCCTTTCTGCCAAGATGGTGGTCCAAGCCCTTCTAACAGATGGCTATCCAGCCTGTCAAAGAAACCTAGAATTCTAGAGTTCAAAGGAACCCCAAAGACCATCTAGCCAGACTCCTTCCTGCCATTAGGCAGGAAAAGCACAACCAAAGCAGCCCCAACAGATGGCCATCCAGCCTGTGCTTAAAATCCACCAGAGTCCTCATGGCATCCTCTAAGCTTGTAACTCTATCAAAAAAGAGACAAGGTGAGTCTGGCATGACTTTGTTTTTGAGGAAGCCCTGCTGAAGAACCCCTCCTCCTCTGGCAGGTACGCTGCGGGCGACGTGGTCATGATCCAGCCCCGCAATCCTCCCGAGGAGGTGCTGCTCTTCTGTCGCCTCCTGCGTTTGGATCCGGAGAGGCGCTTTGCCCTGAGGCCGACTGAACCAGGTAACAGGGGAGCCTGGATGAGGGGTTTTTAAATCATTTTATGTACATGCGACCCGTTCACTGTCATTATGTTTGGTTTACTGCTTTCTTTCTTTCTTTTTTTTACATGTTCTGTGTATAATGTTTATATGCTTATATGTTTTATACTTTAATGCAGGGGGCCAGGTCACAGAGGGCCAGGTCACAGTCCCTCAAACTGTTGAAGGGCCGGATTATAATTTGAAGAAAAATAACATTAATGAATTCCTATGCACACTGCACATATATTATCTGTAGAGCAAAAAACACTTAAAAACAATGCAATAATTAAAATGAAGAACAATTTTAACAAATATAAACTTATTAGTATTTCAATGGGAAGTGTGGACCCACTTTTGACTGATGCGATAGGATTGTTGTTGTTATTGTGTGTTTTCAAGTCGTTTCAGATTTAGGTTGACCCTGAGTGAGGGCTGGGTAAATGACCTTGGAGGGCTGTATCCGGCCTTAGTTTGAGGACCCCTGCTTTAATGCTATGTTGTTTATTTTATTGTAATTTGTATCTTATTTTATTGTAATTTGTTTTTTGGGCTTGGCCTCATGTAAGCTGCCCCGAGTCTGTTGGGGGAGATGGTGGTGACCGCATCTCTGTATATGAACCCACATGATCTCTTTGATCATCTGGAGAGGCCCTGCTCACGCTCCCACCTGTATCTCAAGTGCGATTGGTGGGGACGAGAGAGAGGGCCTTTTCGGTGGTGGCCCCTCGACTCTGGAACTCACTTCCTAAGGACATCAGGCATGCCCCAACTTTGGCAGTCTTCAAGAGGAGCTTGAAGACATGGTTGTTCCAGTGTGCCTTCCCAGAATAATGATCCCATAGCACTTTGTCCTCCAAAGCACTTTATATTGTTTTAGGTCTGCTCGTATGTTCCCACAAACTGCCCCATCACTTTTTTCGCCCATGTCCATTATTATTATTATTATTATTTAATCTTTTAATTTTAATTACATTTGGCCTACCCATAGATTTTAAAGTGTGCTGTCCTATTGATAATGCTTGTGTTATTGTTTTATTGTTTTGTTGTTTTTAAATTGCTTGTATTGTTACTGTTATTGCTTGTATTGTTGTATTTTGGGCTCGGCCTTATGTAAGCCCCACCGAATCCCTTGGGGAGATGGTAGCGGGGTATAAATAAAGTGTTATTATTATTATTATTATTATTATTATTATTATTATTATTTTCCTGGGATGTTGCCGGCCAGAAAATCTAGGGCAGTGGTTCTCAACCTGGGGTCCCCAGATGTTTTTTGCCAGTTTACCAATCCTAACAGCTGGTAAACTGGCTGGGATTTCTGGGAGTTGTAGGACAAAAACATCTGGGGACTCCAGGTTGAGAACCACTGATCTAGGGTAAAATGGTGCCTTCACTTGGGTCTACCCACATTTTCATGTTTTCAAACTGCTAGAGTGGCAGGAGCTGGGGCTAACAGTGGGAACTCACCACTCAAATTTGCTCCCAGGATTTGAACCACCGACCTTTCGGTTAGCAAGTTCAGCATTTCAGCGGTTTAATCCGCTGCACCACCAGGGGGTCCCTTTCTAGGACTTACAAACAAACAAACAAAAAAGCATGCTGTTGTTTTTGAAAGCGCCTTGCCTCCTGTGACCTGTTTTGCCCTTTCAACGCGCTTGGAAGGAAGGTCCCCTGACTCCATCCCCGTTGTACCTTTCTCCCCAGATGCTTCGCTCCCGGCCCAGCTGCCCCAGCCCTGCTCCGTCCATCACCTGGTGACCCATTACCTGGACATCACCTGTGTCCCCCGGCGCTCCTTCTTCGAACTCCTCTCCCATTTCTCCACGGACGACTTGGAGCGAGAGAAGCTGCAGGAATTCAGCTCCGCTCAGGGCCAGGAGGACCTCTATGCTTACTGCAACCGCCCACGTAGGACCACCTTGGAGGTGAGGATTTGATAAAATTATTTTTGTTGCTATTTTATAACTCTGATTTTCCTACTGTTATGAATCATAATGTAAATATCTGACATGCAGGTTGTTTTTTCATTCAAATTTGGCACAAATACCCAATATGCCCAGATTTCAATACTTGTGGGATTGGGGAGGGGGGTTGATTTTTTCCCTATTTGAGAGCCATGCGTGACTTAGGGCATTTTATCCTAGCACTTAAGACCTGGCTTTTTACTAGAGCATTTGACACATGTTAATTTTAATATTTGTATGTATGTGTTTTATCCTGTATAATTTCTGCAATGTAAATCGCCTGGAGCATCTCGGATGGAGGGCGATTAATAAGTAATTAAAGATGATGATGATGATGGTGATGATGATGATGATGATAATTTGTGAGTTGTAATTGCTGGGATTTATAGTTCACCTACAACAACAACAACAACAATAATAATAATAATAATAATAATAATAATACTTTATTTACACCCCGCTCCATCTCCCCCTAGGGGACTTGGTGTGGCTTACATGAGGCCACGCCAATTGATGCAATACAAACATTATAACACAAAAACATAGTAGAACCAAGCAAAATACATAAAATGCAAAATCAATATAATATACGACACAACAATATAAAATTATTGGATTTTGAAAAAATTGGCTTCCCAACAGAAGGCCATCTAGTCATAGATAGATAGTTGCATTTTAACTAAGTTTTAATGTGTGATTTAATAAATAAATACATAAATATTATTCTAAATATTTTAAGTGACAACATTTTGGTGCTGGTTATTGACAGTAATTATACAGACACAGAGACACACAGACAACAGAGCAATAGCCCACCTTTTCCTAAACCGTGTATGCTCTATACATGGAAATACGGACCCCATGAACATATTAATTTTACCTTAGCCAAAGAAGTATCTTTTTGTTCTCCTTCCTTGGTTTTACCTCTGAATTTGCCCCATTGAGCTGGTTTTGTATTTATTCATCATCTTTCTGATTAATGCTATGAATGAGGCTTTCTTGGAAATCGTGGGGGGAAGAAAGGGCTGCGTGTGCGCCTCACTTTCTTTCATTTCCCCCCCCCCAAAGGTCCTCAGCGACTTCCCCCACACGACGTGTGCCATCCCCTGCGACTATCTCTTTGACCTCATTCCACGGATCAGGCCCCGGGCCTTCTCCATCGCGTCCTCAATGCTGGTAAGTAAACAGGGATGGCGCGCCATGCAGTCATGCTGGCCACATGACCTTGGAGGTGTCTGCAGACAACGCCGGCTCTTCGGCTTAGAAATGGAGAAGAGCACTAGAGTCACCGTTTAGGTAAAGGGGAAAACCTTTGCCTAAACGGGGATGGGGTCTTAAGTCGGGGACCCCTTTAAAAAGGCTTGTTGTGTGCTTCCGCATCTGTCCTGCAGGTGGCTCCCTCTCATTGATCCTCAGTAATCATCACGGTCCATAGAGCTGCAGTTGGATTCCTAGAGTACAACTGCCTCTATGCTTAGGGAGCTGAATTCCAAAGCTGGATGCAGGA